TAATATTCTGTGATTCTGTGATTCTGATTCTGATTTTTGGTGGGTCTGTGTCCTGGCATGACCTGAGGCTCTTTGCAAAGAACATAAACCTGAATATGTGGTATTGCATATATGCAATATGAATATATGTACCATGCTGTGGTACATCTTGGTGTAATTATCTACACTTTTCACTCACAGGGAAACACAATTTCTCATCCTTAAATTGAAAGGAGCTTTCAAATAATTAACTTGCACTAAATCAGTCTGATACTTTCCACTCAATGGTACCTTGGTGAGTGAATAGTCAGAAAATGAGGACAGGAGCAGTCTGGCATGAACCACCAGTGAGTTTCATCATTACACCATATTCCAAAAAATCTGTTGGTTATTTACCACCCAGATAGATACAGGATTTTGACTTTTCCTGATACTCATTGGCAACTCTGCTTGCCTCAAGGTCTTTTAAAGCTCAGGGAAACCAGGGAACCAGATTCTGTAATTCTCTTAAAAGAGGTCATAATGGATGCTAGACAAAAAATTGCTCGTGGTGCCTATGAAAAACAACGATCTGATCTTTTTCTTGATCAGTGTTACACCCACTGATCCAAGCTGTCTTCTTCCCTTGCTCAGCATTTGACTTTTTCCTCCTTCCTTACATTTTTAGTAAATACTTTCTTTCAGCTTTGTTTAGAACAGATGAGAAAAAATACTCTCAAAAAAAAAACCCACAAAAAAAACTGAGTACAAAGTACAAAAAAATCCCAGCCCCAAACAACAGGGCTCTGAATGTGGTCTAGAATTCCCAGTGAAGCATATTTTTCATAAGACCTATTTCATTGCAGGAAGTTTGGACTATAAAATGTCTGATAACCGCTTTCTCTCCAGTGTAGTATTTTATACATGCTGGACATTTGTGTTTGAAGAAATATCACGGAAGTCCCAACAATACATATTTACTTAAACTAATAAATAAATAGTACTATGGAAATTCATAAAGCTTCTTTCTGAAGTATGCAAAACTAGACTAGATGAAGCAGTACAAATTATATTGAAAACATAGCATTGGAAAGTTTCTGGTCTAGAAAAGTTATGAAACTGTGTATTCTTTTTCTAACTTTTGCAGGAAAAAAAAATTGGTGATACTCATACATTTTTTGTCGTGAAGACCAAAGATCTTAAGTGACTCTTTATATTAGAAGGCTAGGATTATCTTGACATTTATGGAGGAATCAGGAAATTCTAATGAAGTTAGATAGCTTTTCAGTTAATTTATCAGCATGCTTCTGATTTCAAGATAGCTGCAAACCCAGTAATATTTAGCATATACAATACCTTGCATTTTTATTTCAAAACTCTCTGCAAATACTAATTAACACACAGGTCAACATTAAGAGTAAAGTATTCATTATTATTTTCATTTCCAATGAAAAACTAAGTGACAGTAAATGATTTGAAAAATTAACAAGGAGTCAAGAAAAAGTCTAGAGCTCATCAAAAACATTTATATTCAAAGTAAAATTAGCAAATCTTTGGCTTGTTGCTATGCCATTCTGCATTTCCAGTTAAAGCAATTTTGGTATTTTTTCTATTACAGACCAAAAAGACTAAATGGAGAATTTCTCTTATGCTTTCTCATTCAGCCTTCATTCTACTATGCATATCTGTTCATTTACTGCTAATTCATTCTCTTCCTCTTAAATCCCCTCTGCCTCTTTGCTCACCTCTGGCCTGACTTGTATATTGTGAGCAATTGGGAGTGAGGGAGATGGAAAAAGACATACTGGCTTTATTTGTCTATGCAGCAGCTAAATGGGCTTGATCCTTGGCTGGACTTCTCAGAAATCACCATTACATAAATTGGCAAATAGGGAACTATGCTCAACAGCAACAGCAATGTAATACTTATTTTCATCCACTGGGAAACAATGAATTTCCTAAAGGAATAATAATCCTGATAAAGGCTTTAGTGATTCCATATCCTACTGACCTAATTACATATTTTCTATTCTTTTCAGTATAGCTTATATGTATTGGAGACCTTGGTCTTCCTGGCAGATTACTGAAAAACCCCATGGGGCTATTTCCCTAGTAGTGGATATATCAGAACAGTGCACTGCATTATGCTACAACACCTACGAAAGCTCCTACACAACTGAATTGTGCATGAACGTACCTATCATGAGGGCTGTCCCAACAAGAACACACTTTCTGTTGTCAAGAAATGCTTTAATTGAACTTAAAGAGATCTGGGTTTTCACAGGAAAAAAAGCTCCATATTCTGCCTGCATTAGAGAAGATGGCCAAGGAATAAAGGGCTAATCTCTATGAGGCCAATGAATCAACATCCTTTCCCTGCCAAAACCATCTATAAACCCTTACGAAACTCCATAGCCTATAAAACAGTCATGCAATTTATCTGGTGGAGATGGTCAGATGTTTCACTATCCCATCCACAATAAAAGCTGTTTCTTAACTAATGGCAGGATCCTAGCAGGGTTTTTTATTAAAAAGTAAACCTTTTTCTCAGCTTTTGAAGCTAGTAAGAACTGTGTTTCAGTTATCTTGGCATTCAACAATACGACCAGAACCATCCTGAAGTTGAGTGGAATGAAATGAGACATGGTTTTTTAAAATTGTTTTAATCGTTATCTGAATACTTTTCAAAATAAGGTTAGAATAAAGGTTTTATGTTTTATAGAGTTTTGTTTCGTCATTTCATCACTATTGTCCTTGGTGAAAACTGGAAAAATCCTGTCTGACATCTGGGTGTTTCTTTTGTCTGTTGCTCTCTAATGACCTTTAAAACAAGCTTCTTTTCTGAGGTTATTCAGAGCAGCTACAAAAAGTGTACAACCCAGAGGTTGTAGTCCACACCCATTAAAGTATATAAGTATATATATAGTATTTATGAAGTATATAAAAAGTCCCTTGTGGGATTCCGTGAGCTCATTCAGATACTTGTATACTCCCATTGCTTATACTATTTCTCTCATTTTAAACATTTTTCCACTTACATTTTCTAAAAGCCCTATTCAGAAGGGTTAAAATAAAAGTAAAATAAAAAGGTGATTGGCTTACCCCAAGAGGATGTGTTCCCTTTTGGAGTTTGTTGTAAGGGCTGTACTTAGGTTTAGGCGGCTTCCCAGCAGCTCTGTCTTTGTGCCTTCTACTGCTTATGTGCTGTTAAAACACATTTGGGAGAAAAAAAGTAAAATAATAGATCATTTCAGGTTCTGCTTTACACAAAGGTGCTCTAATACTGAAGGCTACTGCTCTGTACAACAGCATTACTTTGACTAATTCAATAACAAATGGGAATAGGGTCTGTTCCAATTTGAATGATCCTTTGTGCATCACATATTGGGACTGTGGTTTTCCACAGTGCTCAGTTCAATTCTGCTTTCGTTGTAGTTAATGATTTTCTCACCTTTGTTAACTTCAACAGGACCTGAAACAGGTCAAAGATAGAAGCCTTTGAAAAATTCCTCACTGTCTCTAAAAAGCACCCATCAAATTCAATCCACTGCTGATAGAATGTTTTGGAAGAATATTAGATAGTAGACTATCCTATATTCGGGGGTGGGGTGGTGAGAAGATCACAAAATTGTGTAAATCCCTAAGAAGCCTAGACATAATTTTAAGATTTCGTCTGAAAGATGGTTACGAATCAAACTAAGTGACAGTGAAAAAAAACCACAAATCCATTATCTTCTTCATAAAATCCATGAGATTTTACAAGAATCCTTCTACACAGAATTTACTGCAGTATTACATGTAAGGGACCTTTTTCAGAACTGTATTTTTACTTTACTTTTCATTCTCAAGAGAGTTCTTGCAAAAAAAGGCAAAGAACTGTACATATTTTTTCCTGAAAGCAAAAGACAAGTATTGCTATTGTCCATTACAGAATTTATCTTCATTCTTGTAAAATTCCTTAGCAAGTATTTAATTCCAAAAGGCATATGGAATTAAACTAAGTGTTTTTTGGAACAAAGGCTTTCTTCATCTAAAGAATGACTGAACATAACTTAGTGTAATTGCAATTTAGGGGTCATGCTTCTCAGTTACAGAGTAACACTGATAAAAAGATATTACAAATCCTCTTCATCCCACATTTCTAAGCAGGTTATTCCGTGTTTTGTGAAAATACTGTCTGCGCTCACCTCCATATCTTTGTCAAGGCAAATATCATGGAGGACACTAAACAGCAGGGTTTATTATCTCATGACAATTATAGTAGACTAAAGACAGTTGTAACGTGTTGCAGCTTACAGCTGCTCTAACTCTTTAAGTCATATACATAATCAAGAGCTTTTCAGAAGATATACTCTGTGCAAAGGAAAATCATATCCAAAACAAAACATACAGCATGAAAGACAAGTACAAAGGGCAAAATCTGTAAGCTCCATTTGGATGTGAACTGTTAGACTAACACATGCTGATTGTGTTGGTACTTTATCACCATGTAAACAAAGAACAGCCAAGGATTCACACTCTGCAAGTTAGCTGAGTACCTGTTTCAGTTGTGTCTCAGAGTTTACGTGCACATCACATATTTCACAGTGAAATGTTTTGTTCTGAAGGCCCGTGTTTCCTTTATTCACAGGTCCTTTGCCTTTTACGCCTGCCCGGGGAAAGGCTTTTATGGTTCCACTTCCATTCCGAGCTTCCAGCATAGTTTTGTGCTTAGTCCCTGGAGACATTAGAAATGGGAAACAGAAACAACTTTGGCAATTTGGTTGCATTCATTGTTTTATTTTTTTTTTTAAAAGAAAATCATATGAACCTCAGCTTGGTGCTATGTGCTATCTTTGGAACATGTCTGTGTTTGTCTGTATCATCTGTATCAAATTCATCCAATGTAACAGTATTTCACATCTGATATTTAATTATTAAATTACATATCTGTAGGTAATGCACTAGAACAAAGCAGCCACATCAGTAAGTAGTGGCACAATCAGGTATCCTGATGTGAAGTTAAATGGGTGTGACTTTTCTCATTAACTCCTGCTGCTAATAAGACCTGAATTGTAGTTGCAAAGGAAGACTAATTTAGCTATTAAAGATGTAGTTGGCTTTGATTTGCAGTCCTCCTGAATGGACTGACAAACAGTATGCATTAGGTAGCTTGCACTTAAATCTGTAATTAACTGATTAGTCTCCAAATCCAAAGGGGGCAGAGGTTCCTGGCAGCAAACTATGGATCCTTAACAGCCTGGGCAGAAACCAAATCGTGTGAGAAACAAACATGTCAGAAAAATACACTTGCATTTTTCTATTAAAATAAAGAGTGGGTAGAAAACAATAGTGTCCTGTTGCTTTACCTGTATTCAAACTGAATGATTTCTTACACTGTTGACTTCTACAAAGGTAGGCTGTGACGATAATGGCCTATCACTGTGTAGAGAATTAGTGTTGCACTGATAACTGTTGTATGCATCCACAAATACACTCTTACAAGCATGCATGGGTTGCTTGCATGCACATACACAGTTTACCAGCATAGACAGCAAAAACTTGAAGAGTTGTGTTTAAATATTCAGAATAATGTTTTGGCTCTCATCTTGATCAGAAAAATGTTTAGAGTCTAGCTCTCATGTGAAGTTAAAAGGTTAAATGGGTAAAGGCTTATGAACTTGAATTTTTACCAGTTGAGGGTCTGGCATACAGCAAACACAGCATTCAAAACTGATTAGGCTTTGTTTCTCATGAATACCAACAAATTATCATTTTCTTTTTAATTTAAGTGGGCTCTATAGACATGCCAAAGTTATTTCTCTTTTTATTACATCACAAAACCGTTTACCATCTTGCTACAGGTATATCAGCACTGTCTCTATGTTTCAAACCTGAAATTCTCTGTCTGTCTCCTAACTTTGCTTTCCCTGCTGGCAGGTAACCCCCGACATCCAAAATCAGGAGTTTTTCTGTAGCACTGTTATAGGTGGTCATTGCCACCATATTAAATCCCAAGATCTTTTAACCCTGCTTATCACAAGGCCAATCAATATGATGATTAAAATAGTGACTGTGAATGATGGCTCTCTACTATTGGAACTTATCAACACTACTAGCTCTAACAACAAGAAAAGGCTTAAAAATAAAGAAAAATGGAGGTAAGCAATTACCCATTCAACTCTCATGCAGCAGTTGCTACCAGTTGATAAAAACAAAGGAAAAATATACATAATTTTAACAAGTTATTAACAGACAATATGGAGCTAACAATTCTAACTTTCATCATTGAATTCTGATGCTCCCTCCTTCAGCCTTAATTTGTTAGATTTCAAACAAAACTAATGGCATTCAGACTCAGTTTGCTAGCTGGCACAAACAAAAGTATGCAAACTTTGAACACCAAAGGTAAGGAAGCATGAGCTGTCATTTAGCTCTATAAGGTTTGGAAGCTGCAAAAGCTAAAATGTAAGAAAATTGATAACTTGCATGCAAGAAAATTTCTTCCCCATTTATGAAAGCCTCTTTGCCTGTCATTTTTATTCTTTAATAGTTAATGAATTCCATGTAATTGCCAGTTTTCTGCCACCTCTTTGTCCCTTGCTGCAAGAGATCTAATCTATTCAAGGGAAGATAATTGCAGAGCTCTTGAGACAGAAGGAAAAAAGGAAGAAAGCAAGCACTGCTCCATCTCACCACTGTTGTGCGCCTCCAGCTGCGAGGCAGAGTTGACAGCGACTTTGCATAGTGAACAGTAGAGCAGTCTTTTTGCTTTTTCTTCTTCAGTCTCAACGGAAGGGCATGCGGTGCTGCTAGTGGCTGTTGTGGGGATTTTCTCCACTTTAGAGGTGATCTCAGTTGTCATAACACTGCTTTTCCGAATTTCCACGGTTGTCGTCGTTGATATTGCTGGTGTCCCTGTGGTAACGTCTGTGGGCAAAGAGAAGGAAACAAGCAAACAAAAAAAAAAGGCTGTGACCTTTGGCATCTGCTTATTTGCATCCTAATGCTGTAATCAGAGAGCCAGATCGTGCTGGTGATGGTTTGACTAATGGTAATGAACTAAATCTGACCTTATTCTTTGTATTTTGTGTGGTTACAAAATACAGTACTCCCATGTTTCAAAATGCCATATATTCTGTCTCCTACATTGTGCTAACACCCAGTAAATACAGAATTCATAAACTGTAAGGACAGATCATTAAAACTGTACTGTATAACTGAAAGATAATCCACTAAAAGAGGTTGTGTAAATTATCAGAAAAATAGGCAGTTAAAATTTATATGTAGCACTTCAAATGCATAAATTGCCACAGTACTGCTTAACACTTATGCTGATTGAGTAGCCAACTGAAAGTCTTAACATTCTGTACTAATAAAACTAAAATTAAAATAAATGTATGTTCTTGATATCTGATAAAATGAAATGTTAAATTGATACTTCACTTGATATTAGCCAAAACTAATATTAAATGAATGAAGGCAATTATTAATACACAGTATACATTTATGCATGCATTCTTATTAACCATTATTGCATACTAAGAATACATACTAATAATAGTAATTAAATATACAACATTCTAAATTTGTGACCTACACAAACACTAGTAACATTTCTGTTCTGTGTATCAGTGGTATGTTTGGAAAAACTGTGAGCATGTTACATGCCTAAATCTATTTGGAAACCTAATGCTTGCATCTAGAAACTTATGCTTTTCCTGTAGTTTTTAAACCCAAGACAGAGAGAACACGCAATGCTATTGTGGTTTGAATAATATATACATGGCATTTGGATATGGCAGTATCATTTGGTAATTAAGTACTTAGAGGGTAGAGGACAGTAAGATCCAGCACTGAGCCAGAGGAGAGGACAAGTAAGGGACAGGAGAAGGTGTGAAGAGACAGGATCTGTTCTGACTTCGCAGTGTCGTATTTTGTCATATTAAGCCTACTAAGTAGCAACTTCCCCCAACAGAAATCTTGGTTACTTTACTGAGAATCTCCTGGAACTGGGTACTTTCCAACACAGACAGCTCATTTTGGTTTCATACATCCCTTGGCATTAGTGGTGCTCTATGTGTAGGCAAAATAACAAATGTTTGGCTTATAGATCTCAGTATGTACTGTGATGCAGGAGGGATGCAACTAACTGATACTGTTCAACAACTTCTTTAATGATGAGCATGCCTATTAACTTCAAAGAAAACAGCAAACTGGTAGCAAGCACAAACGCACTGGGAGTTATGATTCAAAACAATCATAATGCATTGGAGAAACAGTCAAGAAATGTTTTTCAGTAAAGACAATTGCAGGAATCCACAGTCAGTAGGATTAATCTGATCTATTAAAACAGGATGAAAAACAGCCCCAGTACTGCTTTGGGGTTTGTTTGTTTGTTTATTTTCAGAAAAAGGTTTCAGTAGCAGATAACAAGATGAACACAGATCTCTTACATTACTGTGTTATGAAAAAGGTCCCCATCATGTTGAAAGTGCAAAGGGAAAGATTTATGAAGTATTTTTTTGTTTAATCAGCACTGGAGGCCCTTTGTCCAGCCTGGGGACTGCAATGTCAAAAATTAACAACTACTTGTTTTGTTGTTAATGCAGTAGCAATATAAATGCAAACTAAGAAAAGAGGGGTTGCAAGGGAGGAAGGCAAAACAGAGTAGAGGTTTACAAAGTATAGACTGTGAATATGGAAAATAAAGGGTCAACAGTGACAATATTTTTCATATCTGCAGAAGGTAGCTGAAAATAAGAGAATAAACTCTTCTCCCTGATCCCTTCTAATAGGACAAGGACTATTGGATTACAAGAAGAGAGACTTAGATTAGACATCAGGAAATTCTTTCTACTGATAAAGCCTGTAAAGCCTGAGTATAGCCTACATACAGAGGTCCAGAAATATTGCCTACTGGAGAACTTGAAGCTGGCTGAACAAATATCTGTAGGAGCAACTCAGGTATGATCCCCTTTCAGTCAGTGGCAATAGGACCCTTAAAGCCCTGTTAATTTCTATATATTGTGTATTTCGTAATGCTTCTACATATTCTCCCAGAGGGTTTTTAAAAGTTGTTATTCACAGACCAAGAAAGCAGTTTGTCTCATGAACTTTCTACATACTGCCAGGCATTAAAGCATATAGCAAAAAATATGGTCCTACTTAAGGTCTAATCAAAGTGTTTTGTTTCTTTTTTCCTGAGAGTGACTCTAGAGGTGGTTGTATCCTGAAGGTACTGGGGATGTCAAATACTGGCGCAGCAGGACTGGTGTTACCTTAACATTCTGTTCTTACTTATTACTTTTTACAGACCAACAATAATGTTTCAAAAGAAAAATACTATTTTTAAACATAAAACCTTCTGTTGGGAAACTCATTAATAAAATGAGGCCTTTGTAGATCTGTCCACAAAAACATACATTTAACTAGTTACTCCTTTCCCACCCCAGGGAATCTGTGTCAATGTTAGCTTTCCTTCAGTGAAATTATTTCCTGCAGTGAAATTATTTTCCTCAAGAGCCCAATCCCAGCAGTGCATAACATTGCTTTTAAAGCTTCAGTTTCTCTATTCTGGGACTACTGCACAGTAGTAGATCTAGCCAACATACTTTCTTGGTGAAAAGGAAGATAGAGGGTAGATGGCACCAGGGAGAAGGAATGAAAAGAGAAAGAAGACATTAACATTCTCTAAGGATTGATGACAAGATTGGTGCTCCATCTAATCTTGCAGGAAATTAGATACGTACATCAATAACTGTTACCAGCTTTGCAGTGGAAAGGTCAGTATTCTGCCTTAAGCAAAACAGAGATCATAATTTCTTTAATTTCCAAAGAAAAAATGAACAAAAAAAAGCTTAAATAACTGAAGATTTTCTTTTCCTTCAAATATCTGACCTCCTATACTTATGCTGGTCTAATATTTCACCATGTAACTATTTTAAAGTGAAAGGAAAATAGAATCAATTATGCTAGTCCTTTTGAGGGTATTTTGATATGCATGTCTGAACACAGCATTGTACCTAAAAATTAAACTAAAAATGGTAGTCATCATCAGCATATTTTTCAACTAACAAAAATATCAAAGTTCAGAGCATATATTCTGCTCATATACCTTTCAAAAGGTGCCCTGTATTAATACATCATATACACCACTAATGCAAAAGCATTAATGACATCCAAACACATACAAGAAAACCATCCAAGTTCACCATCTAAAAGCCACAGCACATTTAAAGAGACAAAGGTGCTCCTCCTCATACAGACTTCAGAATTATCTGCAGAAATTAAGGGGAAAATGCTCAAAAAGCAGTTAAGTAAGCCTACAAAGAGGGAATTCAAACCCTCTTCTCACCAGAACTTCTACTGTAACCAGCATGTGTCTCTTTGAATATATTACAGTGTTGCTGCCTGTACACAGTTCAGTGCCCTAAATAGAGGATACAGAATTAAACCAACCAAAAATCAAAACCAGAAATTAGTAGGAAGGCATTTGAATTGATGCCTTGAAGACTGAATCAGCATTTTTTAACATTATATTATGACAGTGCTTTAAGAACTATTTCAATAATAAATGATCAAAAATCAAGCTGGAAATGCAGTCACAGTCAAATGGAAGATTTGTTTCTGGTGACGCAGACTTGCAGCACTGTGCTATTTTCATATCAGTGGCCTGCAGCAAATATTCATTATTGCAACTGTCACTGCTTGGCTTTGGCATAGAAGCTGATTGCTAATATTGTATGGAACTGGACGCCAGCAGCAAAAAAAGGGAACACTTCAAGATGCATAACAATCCATTTTATGTTCCTGGTCTTAATATAGCAACAGAGTAAGAATTAAAAATACAAAAAAAAATACATTAAATACTAATCTTGCTCACTGGCAAAATCAAAGATTTATTTTAACAAAATGACAAAGCCAGATGCAAAACATTCTGTGAGAATTGACTCCTTTGGGTACTACAGATACCATAGTTCAAGTGGAAAACTGCAAGTGTTTGATTAAGGTCCTCCTAAGTAAGCAGGATTAATTTTATATCCCAGCTAAAGACTTATGAAGTTCTTTAGGATGAAGAAACAGAAAATTACAACTCATGTTTTTCTTCTGAGTATGTGAAAGTCTTACTCATCAGTTCCTGCTACTAAGCATAAGAATTTCTTATCCTGAAGCTATAAATAGACCCACAGAGAGAAAAATGGTCTGACTTCAAACAAATCACAACTATTTGAGTGTGTGTTTTCTTCCGCTATCTCAAGTGGCATGCATTTCAAAATATCTGATTTAGCACATACCCATGCATTCTGGTCTCATTTAAATCAAACTTTGCCTTAGACATAAAACTAATGAGCATTTGGTCTTTAATGCTGTCCAGAAAAATAAAAAAAATCTCCACACCAAACCAAAAAAAAACCACCCCAAAAATCCCCAAAAAACCGCAAAACCCTCAAAAAAGTAGAAAGCACATTTCTTCTCATGACAAGCAGAACTTGACATGAAATATTTCACTATACTAAAAGACCTCTTAGTATTGCAAGTATATTGTCAGCTGGCTCGCTTATAGCAAATCTGCATCAAGTAACAGAATTCTCTCGTACTTGTGCTTGATACTGGTATATTCAAAAGTGTCCTGGCTACTAAGAACTAGGTCCTCCACTTCCTTGGGCTGCTTTGAAAATCCCATGTTCTGCGTCCTCTGTAGTAATTACATCTGAAGATAAGATGTAATTTCTCTTGAATCTATAAATAACAGTGGAGTATATTAATAAACAAAGTACCCACTCAAAAATAACTGTGCGACTGACTTTTTTCATGCTTGGCTGACTTTCTGTACTCATACGCTAAAAAATAAGCATGTGTGCTAGCACACTGGCTGGCTCTGGCACATAAACAAAACACTTTGAGGAACTTTGACTCAAATGTATCAG